ATCAACACATATCAACATATATATGTGTGAGTGTGTGAGTAGTTATTGTATATAAATGAAGAAAGGTTTAAAATGATACTGAGGCCATACAAAGATAAGAACAAAGATCTCATTCCCGCCCCCCCTTTCTCTGACCAATCCTAATTCTTTTATTACCTCTTAAGCGGAGAAAGATTTTCCTGCCAATCCAAGAATTTGGATGACTACCATACATAAAGGACAATGGTTAAGCATAAGAACACATAGGAAAAAAAGAATTCCTTTAAATAATTTGTAGAAATAACAATTCTTCGCCTGATGAAGGTCGCATAACTCGAAACGCGTGTAGCAAAAATAGGGGAAATAAAGTATATATATATATATATATATATATATATATATATAAAATTTACATTATAATAAAAACGTTTGAGGCTTTTCTTTTCTCTTTTAAATATACACTTTTCTCTGGTTGGAACAACTATAGTCTCTCCCTTTATATATATATATATATATATATATATATATATATATATATATATATATATATATCTGTGTTTGTGTGTGTTTGTGTGTGGGTAGGCGTGTGTGTGTATGGAGAGGGAGAGAAAGAATGTGAAAGAGAGGGAGAGAGGAATCTGTTATCATGAAAGTTTAATGAGGTTATTGAGCCTGTTGGCTTTACGTCGAAACCCACCCTTGCATTTAAGATCAAAGACACAGCTGGAACCCGAAAATAAGGGATCATTCGAAATACTAATGCCCTGTTGTATCGGATCAAGATAAAAATGTGGTGGTGAGCTAGTCATTAAGTCACTCACCCTTGTTATAAGGAGATGATGACCTCAGTGATATGATTTTCCCGCCTTAAGGAGATATGCTCTCTCTCTCTCTCTTCTCTCTCTCTCTCTCTCTCTCTCTCTCTCTCTCTCTATATATATATATATATATATATATATATATGTTTACATGTTACATTCTCATACTTGCTTAGTTTCATTACTATTTTCTGACCATGTATATGCATTCATATAGTGGCTCGCCGCTTATATCAGAGTATGCATGTCTGCTAGGGCGGGTAGCTAATCTAGTCACCTGTTTGGGCCCATTTGTGTTTGTTTAACGCCTTTAGAGTCCCACTGTAGCTTGTACTGCAACTATACTTAGCGGACCTTATTTCTAGTTTCTGGAACAAAGCACATCATCTGGATTGGCCAAGTTTTTGAACAAAGTCAATGCGCTCAAACTCTCGGTCACGATGACTGATGACTTACAAGGATGGGATCAACCCGTACTATGGTTTTCGGACACTTTCCAAAAGATACCGCACGCAGGGGTCCTCTACACAGGCCGATAATATCAATAAGTTACCATCCTGACAGATTAACTATGGTGTGATTCGAACCCCGATCTCAATGTTCTAACAACTGGCCCCTATATAGATGGTTATTCATTATATATTTATTCAGCGATCCTTTTGCTCTTACGTTTCTCTCTTTCATTCTCCATCTATGGCTCTCCACAATTTCCTGTTCTTTGTAGGTCTTAATAAATTTTGTCTTTTTGTTATCTCTGCTAAATCCTGTTTCTCCATCCAATTACTCAATCTCACCAGGGAGTTTATGCGTTGTTTTACTCCGTCCAACTTTCCTTCAATCTGTCCTGTGAGTATCAAATTTTCCAAGCCCTCTTTCCTCATTATGTGCCCTAGAAATATCAACTGTCTCATCCTGATAAGTTTCCTTTTTGTTTCCATTTTCTCTAAAACTGTCGTTTCGGTCTATGGAATCCTCAGCATCTTTCTGTAGAACCGCATTTCCGTTATTTCAAGTCTCTTCTTCATCTGCGAGGAGATTGTCCAGCATTCACTGCCGTTATTATTATTATTATTATTATTATTATTATTCTATAGTTACAAATACTACTTTATTTGCATGTTCGCATTTTTATCATCATTGTTATTGTTATGGTACTTATTATCATTTAATACTCACCATCGAATATTCTCGCATATTCTCGTATATTCTCGCGTGTATATTCTTGTTAACGTTCTAATAAGACAAAGTGAATTGAGTTTTCAGTCATGAATCTATTCACTTATATTTGGCGTTATGTGACTGAAGTAAGAGATTGACCTACATGAAGGATAAGAAACGACAATAAAATCTTTATTAAGTGCCATATCCAAAGCAATGATTATTCTCGCATTGGGCCGACTGGATTTGAAATTTAGCCTAGTTTAAAAAAAAAAAATTAAATCTATTCAATATTAAATATTGACGAAAACTGTGAGATCAATCGAAAATTTGGCAATTTCCAAATTAAATTTATTTTGTTTCTACAATGGACAAAATGAAAAGCCTAATATATATATACAAATAATATATGTGCTATGACGTTTTATATATTGATAGTTAGAGAATACAAGATTCACTAATTAACCCATACCTGGGGGAGAAGAGGTGGATTCGTACCTAAGCTATTTGAGCATATGTGAATATACCGAACGCAACTGAAACTAGAACTCGGCTCTCCGATTAACAAATCCGAGATTACCGCAGACACCCAAGTTTACATTACCTGGTATTTGGTATTCCGAAGCGGTCACCCATCTAGGTACTGACCAGTCTCGACGCTGCTTAACTCTGGTGATCGTACGGAACCAGTGTTCCAACGCCGTAAGCCACGATATATAGAGAAATAGTAGGAATAATTGTTCCATGAATTTGTGTTAAGCATTTTGTTTTTGCTATGGCTTTCGTTCGTCTGTTGGTACAACTAGCAATGTCAAGTAGAGTTAGGGTTGCATTGGGAGGCCCTGATTTATGCGTCTTGGGTCGACCATAAATCTGCCTATTTTTTAGGGAGGTATTTTTCTGCAGCCCTTATATTAAAAATTCTGGTGACCTGCCCGAAAAACTAAAAGGCATAAATATAACGGAGAAGTGGGTTAAAAATCTTTTCACGAGTTCTCGTTGTTTTTGTTTAGTGGCATATCAACACCTCTATGGGATATTTAATGCCGAAATTTAAATATTTTGTACGCAATTTTATTTAATTTATTTTAGAGGTAACAATAGTTTTATTGATAAAAATTTTTAATGATTAACCATTATCTGTCATACGTTTTCCAAGGGTATTTGCATAAGTGAATTCAATGGACCAAACTAGAATTAGAGACTCGGCTATCCAATTAACAATTCCAAGCCATTCAAGTTTACAGTACCTGGTATTCCCAAGCAGTCACCCATCTAGGCAGTGAGCTGGTTCGACGTTACTTAATTTTGCTGATCATACGGGAACCGATGATTCAACTGGATGTGGCAGTAAGCTTTAACGGGTTATCTCTTTTTCTCTTTCTCTCTCTCTCTCTTTCTCTCTCTCTCTTTCTCTCTCTCTCTCTGTTAGAACAAAAGGCTGTTCCAATTTTGCAATTCATACCGAATGAATTGCAAATTTATCATCATTTCTTTGTTGATTAATGGCTCTCACAAAGTATTTATGTCTATACTCGGTTTGCTGATCGAGTTATCTGAACAGAATATTTAAAAGTATTCTATAAATTTTCAAATCAATTCTCTTGTAAAGAAAAGAAAGGAAAAGTTTAGAACCACCATCTGAAGTTTGCTTTGTTAATTGTCACACAACATTTCTTCAAATCTATCTATCTATCTATCTATCTATCTATCTATCTATCTATCTATCTATCTATCTATCTATCTATCTATCTCAGTTTGCTAGCTAGCTATCATCATATATACTCATATTAAAGTATACTATATAAAGTATACTGGAGCCACCTCCTGTCATTCAATGATTGAACAACGAATATATTATTGAACGTAAATGATACCATTGACAATAATTAACATATATATATATTAACATATGTATGTTGCAATTTATTTATTTCCAGCATCTATCTATCTATCTATCTATCTATCTATCTATCTATCTATCTATCTATCTATCTATCTATCTATCTATCTATCTCTTTACAGCTATGCCTCTCTCTGTTTTCCATGATGGAAAATAAAAGCAAAGAAATATAAAATAAAGAGAGAGAGAGAGAGAGAGAGAGAGAGAGAGAGAGAGAGAGAGAGAGAGAGAGAGGAATGAGGTTTAAAGAGAGAAAAAGAGAGAAGAGAGAGAAAGAAGATGTAAAGGTATTTCGAACCTTTAGATTACTATGTAATGCTCTAACACTAGTGCTGTACCTGTAAGTCGATATTATCGGAGTCTGCAGGAAATTACTTATTTACCTCGTTCCGCTTTTATTTATTTGTCTATTTATTTACTTGTCCTCGGGGTCTGTTTACACAACGATCGACTCTTATTTCTTCATCTACCGGTCTCCGGTCGGAGGATAGCCTCTTTACTAATTATCCAAAAAGGTTGAACTGTCATTAATTGCAAACGTGAGTAATAGTGAAATAGAGTATCGGGTCACCATTTTTAGGCTGTGTATTCTCTCTCTCTTCCCCCCTCTCTTTCTCTCTCTCTTTCTCTCTTTGTCGATCTCTCGATGCAGCTGGTGATTTTCAAAATGTCAGGGTTGACATTGTGTTCAATGTTCATTTTAAAGCTCCTTTATTATTCCAAAAAGAAATAGCTGTGACAGTGACTGAATTTAAGAACAGAACCGCTTATGGAATTGTGTAATTACTTGTACTGAATGGACCCTGCAGATATTAGATTGGCTATTTGGAGTAAATTGATTTGTTTTTTTTTTCTTCAAAATTTGAAATAAGAGCGTTTCTTATCTTAATTGTGTGATAAGGAGCCTAACCCAACCAGCTCTACAAATGGATATATCAAGCTTTCGGAATGCAGTAGATGGTTTGTATTAACCAGAAAACAAGTTGTAGGCTAGTTTAGGTTTAAGATTTGATTTAATTGTGACAATATATCAACGACCTCCATCGATTCAGAATAGAAAACAAGTGTCTTTTAATTCAAAGAATTTGACCAATTAGTAACAATACACACCTTAAAATGCCTGCCAACTTGTATGTGTGTGTTCATGAATGCACGCTCAGAGAGAAAGAGCGTACAAGTACGCCTGAGAAAGAGAGAGAGAGAGAGAGAGAGAGAGAGAGAGAGAGAGAGAGAGAGAGAGAGAGAGAGAGAGACGGGGGGAGGTTTGTTTTCGTACTGGCATATTAGATTCTCGGAAGTAAGGTATATCTTTATTGTTTGGAGTCATTATAGAATCATATAGCGAGAAAAATACAGAGAAATTTAATTTCACTGCTTGTTAGCGCGAACAGGAAAATTTGATCGTAGATTGTATAATAACAGTCATTTGAATCTTGTAAGTGCCACATTAAATCAGACAAGCCGTTCTTCTTTTTACCTTTTTTTAATATACGACTCTTGTTAAAGTCTATTTCTTGCCTTACATCACGCGTACAATTTCTTTCTGTTTCTTTCTTTACGTTAAGTTTCTATTCTTTTTCATTCTCTTTACTTTTCTTTGTGATTTCATTTTCATTTTTTTTCTTATTTTATTTTCCCGTTGCTTCTTCGCTAATTTCTTTCTTTCTTCACTTTGAGTTTCTTCTTTTTCTCTTTCTCGCTTTGCTTTTCTTCGTGATTTCATTTTTGTTTTTTTCTACTCAATTTCTTTTTCCTTTATAGTTCTTTGCATCTCCGCGATTTTCTTTTTCTTTCTTTCTTTCTTTCTTTCTTTCTTTCTTTCTTGTGATGTTCTTCCTTTTCCCATTTCCCCCTTTTCCCCTCCTTCTATCATTTTTTCTTCTCCTCTTCATCTAACTCGATTTTTTACCCTTCCTTTCAGGTCCCTTTTATCAATCCTTAGCTTATTCACCAGATCTCCTTATTTATTTTTTGTTACATCTTTCGACATTAGCAAATGAAATGCGAGATGGTAAATGTTCGATTCTATGAATTATAAGAACCTGTTATTTATTCATCCGACCATCTTTCCTGTTTTTCATTTCTGAAAAGCGTTTGGAAAAAAATAAAGTCCCTCTTTGGAATCATAGCTTTTGTTTAGGTTTTATTCCAATCCTATTTTTGTTTTAATTCAAAATCTCTGGATGACAACAAAAAGAACATCCTGTTCCGAGATACGTTTAAGGGCACATGGCGCAGTGGATAAAAGCGTTCGTTGACGTAATCCAGTCACTTGATCCAAAGAGTTGTGAGTTCAATATATGGCCAAAGCAGAGGTGAATGAAAACTTGGAGAATTGAGTTACTAAAGGGAATTAACTGAAAATGATATATCCAGAAAAGGCATGGCATGTAGAACTAGATCAATCTACCCCGGTGGATGAAATAAAGGGTTTGGTTCGAAATTCTAACGAATATCACTTGAAGAAGGTTGAAGCGTACAACGGCTGAAACGTTGTGAATATGATAATAAAGATGAGGACAATAGGCTGAACAATGTAAATAGTTACGATACTTCATTGCGGAAATATAGACCGAGTTCTAATCTTGCTAAAATTTAACGCCAGGAATTCTTGAAAAGGTCCAAATATATAGACCAGCCATGAGCAACCTTTTCTGACCCGTGGGCCGCATCAGATAAGACTCTCCAAAAGGTGGGCGTAAAAAGATTGAAGGTCATTTTTCATCGAATTTGCCTCAGCCATTTTCAATACAGATGACCATACGTGTAAGCATCTGCCTTCAAAATGACTATGAACGTCCTGTTTCTAAAGCAAATGATAATTACACGCATGATCCTCCTTAGTTAAAATTGCCAATGGTTTAAAATGATGAAAACGTTACTTCCAACGAAAAGTTACAAAATTGAAGAAACATTATAAATAATCATTGTTTTTGTATGTGGTTGTATTAAAAAATATGAATGAACAAGTGAGAACTAAACGAAACAAGCAAACATTATAAATAATCATTGTTTTTGTATGTGGTTGTATGAAAAAATATGAGTGAACAAGTGAGAACGAAACGAAACAAAGTTTTAACAAATGTTATTTTCCTCATGAAATTCGGCGTGCTATTCAGAAAACCAAATGGCCCGCGAGCCATATCACTGATATAGGCAATAAATGAATGGACTGCTGATATATTTGGGCTGAAGCTACTCAATTCTCACTTTACAACTATTGCGATTTACATGACAGTCCTTCATATTTAGGATATACCATATACTTCCACGGAGTGGAAACATTCCCATTTCCTCTGTATTCCCAAATTAATGAGTAGGCTCCATTTAGCTCTTTTCCAAGAACGACTACTTTGACAAACAGACTCCTGCGATGATACTTTCCTGAACACTTCATTCTTAACGACTTCAAGTCAAGGCTGAGTTATTATTTATCCTCCTTATAGTCATGGTCTTCACTTCCTACAACATTCTCTTTCATTCATATCGCATTCAGCATTTTAGTAGTAACCGTCTACATTGATTGTCTCTCGAGCCATGTATTATATCAAATATAAAACAACTGATATTATATATTTTTAGATTGCCATGTTAAGAAGAGGCTGATTGATGCAATATCCTCCAGCGTGACTCGAACCTCTGCAATATTGATATGTCCCAGAAAGGGATATATTTGTTCGAAGTAGCAAAGTGATTGTTGACTACTGTAACCGGGTAGGACAATATAGCAGGGAACCGTAATGGACTGGTTATTGTCGTAGTGGTAGGCAATAGGCATAGGCAATAGGCGTCGCCCCTGTACCTCCACATCAGTCTGTATTTATAGCTGACACCAGCCAATCATATTACTGTGAGAGGGAACCCAGGTGTATGCATATTCATTACATCAAATATTAATCCATTTTACAAGATCCATATATCGAACTATTCTCTTGCTGCCTCCGACCAATTCAAAAAGGTAGATACATTACGACCCGCCTCTCATCATAGAAAAAAAGTGTTTAAACCATTTACGAATTGCCTCTTTCCTCTTGAAAAAAAGATTTTAAACACTTTATGACTAGCTGTTTATTTATGTTTCACAAAGACTTTTCCTTTTTTTTTTTTACAACTAATTAATATGCCCGTGAGATGTGCAAGCGGTGTAATAGCCACCGGCGGGGAAATTAACTCAGTAGGAGAAGTTCAAATTTCGATCAAGGGTGTTATGTTCACTTGGCGCTAATGGTCTTGGGAACGACACCAATCTATTTTGTCTACTCCGTCTAATATTGTCAATAACTAAATAAGATTTTTTTTGTTCTTTTTTAGTTTTGGTAAAGCGACTAGTAGAGAAGAAGAAAGACTGTGAATTTAAAACTGTGGAAAATGCAACGGGAAGAAACTCCAGTCTTTCCCAGGAAGACAAGGAACGTTCACAGATATTAAAGAAAAAGAGGTCGTGGAGTGTAAAGATCGCTTACGTCCTGAAGAAATATTATAAAATAAAAGGCATTGAAATATATTAAAAAGATCAACGACCGAATAAAACTTGGATAAACCCATATTCTCTTGGCGTCAGTTTAAACTGACGTCTTCTTTCTTCCATATATTAGCTCCATTTTGCATAAAATTCGATTTTTTTTTGTTTTTAGATGAACACTTAAACATTTCTAAATATATTTCGCTGTAATTTTTACTTTTTAAAATTATAGAAAATTAAGCTGTCAGTTTAAGCTGACGCCAGGAGGATATGGGCATTATTGAGGCTTTCTTTTATTTTCATATTTGTTTCATATATACCACATTGGTTAATGAGCTGTTGTCTTGATTTCAGATGTGAAAATCTCTAAATTTTCCAACGTATTTCAATGAAATTTTCACTTTCTAAAATTATAGTTTGCGTATATTGGAAAAAAAGAGCGGCGTTAGTTTAAACTGACGTCAAGAGGATATAGGTATAAATGACGCCTTTTTTTCTTCCATATATTGTGACCTTATTGTATAACGTTTGTATTTTCTTGATTTTAGATGAAAACTTGGACATTTTCCATTGTATTTCAATGAAATTTTCACCTTCCAAAATTATAGATTAGATATATTGAAAAGAAGAAGGATTCAGTTTAAGCTGACGCCAGGGGGATATGTGTTTATTATAATACGAACCTTTGCAGATGGTGTAATGTTTTTTCGTTTTGACTTGAAAGGGGAAATGGTTTATGCATTTTATGGTTGTGTGTTAGAAAGAAAATCCTGCGAATTTCCTGGATAAAAGACCATGTGTTCGTTTAAAAGAAAAGAGTGATAGAAGAAGTATTAAGAGAGAAAAAAATGGCCGAATGAAAGAGAGAGGGGAAAGGGAGAGGGAGAGAGAGAGTATGATTGATGAAAAGAGGAAAGGTAGAGTATAAGAAAAGAAAGAGAAATGAAAAGGAAGACATGTTGGAGGTCAACATAATTTTGTAACTGGAGCTTTGTGAAAGCGAATGTAAGATAGGAAACAAGATAAACCAGAAAGGCATGGAATCCTCCGCCCGACAAAAAAGACAAAAATAAAGAGTAAGTGGGTGAGAAAATGCAAAGGAAAGTCAGAAGAGAAGATGAAAAAGTTTTGAAAGGAAATATGTGAGCCACCAAGTAGAGAGAGAGAGAGAGAGAGAGAGAGAGAGAGAGAGAGAGAGAGAGAGAGAAAATAACCAGACCGAAAGATAGGTATGCATATAACAAAGATTTAGAAACAGATTAACAAACACAGATATAAAGAGAAAAACAGGTAGATATTAACAGATGAAGTTAGGTAGAAATAGACTAAAAGAGACATAGATAAGGACCAATGCCGGTTATGACATTTGGGGACCCGCATCCGTCTTGAATATTTTTTACTCGTCATATAGTTTAGCGACATTTGCATAGTTTGAAGTAAACTTATTTCAAATTCTTGAAATAAACTAGAATAGTTATCTTTTTTTTGTAAATAAAAAATATCATTTAAGAAATACCACTATTTATTGCAAACCAAATTAGGACATATTTCAACACAACTCTAGTAAAACAAACAGATTTTTATAACCAAGCAACCTATAATAGCCTATAGGAAACTCCCTCCCTGGTAAGACTGACACATACTCTAAAAAACATACGTATATAAATAGCCATTTGGTTA